ATTTAGTTTTCGATTGGATGAGAGTGCGGAAAAGGTAACTTACATGAGATATTTGCTTTCTTCGGCTAAAAGTTTGGATATGATTCTGAGAGAGCGAAAAGTAATTCAAGAGATGAGATCACTATGCTCACATCATGTTGACAGGTTAATAATTCCGTTAATCTTTGGAGAGCTGAAAGATACAAAGAAAATAATTGTCAAGATAAGAAGAAAAAAGAGAAAAGGATTAGTTAATATGCACAATCATCAACTATAATTATTGGAATTAAAGGTAAAAGGTTAATTACTTCTTGATCCAATAGCTGAATTGCTATATATTCGCTGGGATCATTGTTATCTTGAAATAATTTTACAAATTATTTCCAGGCTTCAAGTTAATTTGATGGATGTCATTTGAAGATAGTATTGCATTGATACAATATCTATTAATTAAATCTAAAATGTTAAATATTGCGAGTTAACGCTGTTAATGGCGACATGTGATGAAATATTGGAGATTATATCAAACCAAGATTTTGATAATATTGATCTTTAGGAAATTAACAGAACTAGGAATTTCAAGAGATTGATTGTCGCAAAGTTATATGAATAACCACTGGCGCTTGATTCATCACTAACATTTGGTATAGAAGATTCCGAGATGTTAAATGATAAATTTCTAATTATCTCGGTTACCTTTTTAATTAGATTGTAGATTCGCTGGTGATTTTTAGGTTCATGCTTTTTGGTGTCCATAAAATTAGAAAGATTTTCATCATCCGAATCATAAGAAACATCATCATCATCCATTGTGGATTTCATGTAAGAATCACCATTTTCATCTAAATCATTTGATGAAGATGAACCATAAACTAGATTCATTACTCTTTTATCCATAAATAATCCAGACCAAAATCTTTGTAAACAGGTACATGGTTTAGATTGATTATTTAGATCATCTTTGACACGATATTGCAGAAAACTCTACCATTATCAATTTGTTTAACCAAATCACTATTTTCTTCATCACAGCAACATGAATATGGTTCAACACTGTCAATTAGAATATCAATAAATTTGAAATCTGATATCCATGAAGATTCCTTGGAATTGGCTAGAACTGTTGATATACGAAGACCAAAGTCAATCTCATTGCTCACTCATTAAACTACAATAGAGTTTATTTAATGGATTAACTGGAGCCAATTGTATCTTGGTAACCATTTTATCCACCATTACACACATATCCTCGGACGGTTCTTGAGAATCATTGGAAATAAAATTTGCATGGTCAATTCGGGTTCCTTTGTATCTACCTTCTTCATTTGATTTCTTCATACGCTTAACAAAGCCTTCTAAAAGTGTCTCCTTTGGTGTACGACTCCTCAATGAATCATATCCAGACATTGTAGTTTTTATTGGAAAAACACACAACTGGTCAGGAGAAGATTTGATTTAAAGAAAAATGAAAGAGAATAGAAAATCAGCAAAAAAAGAGACACACACATAGAGAAAAAGAAGAGACCAAGAGAAATAGAAAGAGATAGGAAAAAAAGAGAGTAACAGACAGAGAAAGTGAAAAGTATAAAGAGAGAGAGAGAAAGAAAGCGAGGAAAAAAGCAAAGAATAAATTAAATATCAACACAAGTGAAAATAGAGACACAAACAAAAACAAAATAGAAGAAAAGTGAAACAAAATGTAGTCAAAGGAAACACAGACACACACAAGTAAGAGAAGAAGAAGAGAAGAAAAAGTTATTAAAAAAAAAAGAAGGAAGAATGAATGAAAAGAAAGAAAGAAGAGAAGAGAGAGAGAGAAAGACAACATAGGAATGGAAAAAAAGAGGTAGTAGAAGAGAATTGATAGTATGGAGACACAATAAAGGAGAAACAGATGATATTAAGAAATTTGGATTGATGAATTTATTCAAGAAACTCCTAAACCTCAATTAATGTCTAATTATTATACTAAATTGTCCCTTGTCTTCTGGAAAGCCATTGTCCTCTTTCCATGCCGCTGCTCTTTTAAACTGTTCACTTTAACTAAAGAACTTCGAAAAACATTACACCGGAAGATGTTCAAAAATGGCTTCTCGTGTTTTTGTGCTACTCTTTCCATACCAATTCCTCCAACTCGACCCGAAATTGATAAGCTTGTTGACACTGAAGAAAATGTTATCGAAAATCATCAAAGAAACCTAGCATCACTTTTAGGTTTAACTTCGGCACCAACTCGATCTACTCTAATTAAAGATCTTAAAAGAATGGGAGTATTACAACATGCGTTTCCAACTCTTCAAAGCCTTTACCATTGGTTGGAAGTTGAATTTCATCCATTACTTTTATCTAAAAGAGTTGGTGAATGTATTGATTTCATCGAAACATGTGAAATTAGTGGTGATCTCAGTCAATATACAACTGCCCTTAAGGATGTTACACTTATTCGTCTTTTAAAAGAAATAAGTCAAGTCTATGAAAGTATTGAATACTCTCGTCTAATTGAATTGTGTCCTGTTATTGATAAAATTCATTTGGAACACATGATTGTTTCAGCTGCTCGTCGTAATGATCTTCAAGTTCGTATTGATCATCGAGGTAGATGTTTCTATTTTGGAACCGAGTTAAGAGCTTCCCATGGTGAGGAGATAATTGAAGGTCCTCATTTACAAAGTATGCCAAGTGAACAGATTAGACAGCAACTCGTTACCATGTATTCAGTTTTACAAAAAGCAAGAGCCATGGTGGAACCTGAAAAGATTAAGGTTCACAAGAATGACGTTAAGAGGCGAATGATGGCCAATTATGAATCAAACAAGAAGGCTGATCATAAAGCAATTTTGGAAGACATGATTACATTGAAAGAGAAAGGTTGAATTAGAGCAAATTGGAATGGAAAGAGAGAAAAGGAGAAAGAAATCTTGGAAGGTAAACAACGTGAACTACGATTGGCCGAAGAAAGATTAGCCAAGGAAGCCGGAGAGACAACGGCAAATGAAACTTAAAGAAGATCTTGAATGAAGAAGCGAATGGCCCTCGATCAATTGGAACGAATGAAAACAACCGATCCCAAGCTTCTTGAAGGTTTAAATGACGATGAATTGGGTAAATTAAAGATTGAAGACATTAACTCGACAAATGAAACAATTAGAGAAGGAAAGAATTGACCAGATAACTCGACAACGAAATCATGAAAGGAAAATTGATCACTTTGAACGAGCTAAACGTCAAGAAGAAATTCCTCTATTGGAAGCCTATGAAGAATGGCGTAAACGATGATGAAGAGGAATGGATTGAGATGGAAAATGAAAGAATTGCTGCTTTACATGCCGAAAGAGAAAGCAATTCAACACAAAGAAAGATTGAATAGAATGCGAGCTGATCGTGATGAATATATTAATTTAATCAAAGAGTCGTCATAAACTTTATGTTGAACAATATGCTGAATGGAAAAAGCTTTCGATGAAGCGAAAGAGATACGAATGGTTGAAAGGAAAGTTCAACGTAAAAGGATCGTCGAGAAGCCTTTATCGAGCACGAAGAGAAGCCGAAGAGAAACGCAAAGCAGAAGAAGAAAGGAAACGTAAAGAAGAAGAGCGTAAAAGAGAAAGAAGAAAATAGAGAAGGAGAAGAAATTCGAAGAAATGGCTAAAAGAAGGCCGCCAAAGAAAGAAATTGAAGAAAAATGGCTCGAGAAGCGGAAGCAGCTCGAGTTAAATACGAACCACCGAAAGAAGAGAAAACTATTGAACGTAAACCACCTCCATCTAAAGGTGATGCTATTGATAACTGGAGAGGATCGGCGGCAACTGCTGATCGATCTGAAGTGCCCGAACTTCGTCGACCTGATAGAGGTCTCGATCGAATTCCAGATCGAATTCATATCGTGAAAGAGCCGACAAAGGAGACCGAGGTGATAAAGGAGACAGAGATGACCGAATTGACCGGGGCGATAGAGGATAGAGGCGATAGAGGAGATCGAGGAGATCGAGGAGGAGATCGAGGAGGAGATCGGGACCGAGGTGACCGAGGAGGTTACGGTGAATCTCGAGATAGACCGAAATATTTTGGCCGAAGCTCTAAAGACTTTAATCGCCCTGCTCCTCGAGACAATGATGACTCTGGTGGTAGCTGGAGGGACAAACCCACCGATGAACCTTCAAGCCAAATTGATAGACCCGACCTCGACCTGGTGGATTCCGTCATGGTAATACAGATAAAGACCAAGATTATGAAAATCGAGATGGTGGTTATTCAAACCGAGGAAGGCGAGATTTCGGACGTGATAATAGAGATCCTGAGAGAAGATTCGAGAGAAGTGACAGAGGTGATAGAGACAGAGATCAAAAAGAAAAGGATGATGGTGATTCTCAAACAAAATCATATAAAACATCTCGAGATGTATGGAGATCCCAAGGGCCAACCAACCGAGAAGAACCGCAATCAATTAGGTCTAATATAAAAAGCGATAAACCACCACCACGGCCCTTACCAAAAAAATGATTTTCTTAATTTGAAAGACACACACAAAAAAAACAGTAAAACAAAATTACAACAATTAAGGTTGAGAAGATGAAAAAAAAAACAAAATTAAATCAAGACAATAGTATTGGTATTGACTTTAAAACATATTAAAATTTTTGTATCATATAAAATTAATCAATTGCACTTCACTCGTTGTTTAATTTGTCTTTCATGAATTAAAGATCGGTAATTTTAATCGTAATTGTAACTTTCCATTTTCTTTCTGTCCAAAAGCAACAATTAGCCGATTATCAAATTGTCTCTTTACTTGAATTCTATTAAATTCCACAATCAGTTGATAGATTAATTTGATTCGACTATCACCACAATCTTAATACTCTCGCTCTCTTTCAACTGAACATTAATTATCAACAACAATTAGAGTTCCGAAGAGAAAGAAATTGAAGAAAAAGGCTCGAGAAAGCGGAAGCAGCTCGAGTTAAATACGAACCACCGAAAGAAGAAAACTATTGAACGTAAACCACCTCCATCTAAAGGTGATGCTATTGATAACTGGAGAGGATCGGCAACTGCTGATCGATCTGAAGTGCCCGAACTTCGTCGACCTGATAGAGGTCTCGATCGAATTCAGATCGAATTCCATATCGTGAAAGAGCCGACAAAGAGACCGAGGTGATAAAGGAGATGACCGAATTGACCGGGGCGATAGAGGTGATAGAGGCGATAGAGGAGATCGGGGAGGAGATCGAGGAGGAGATCGAGGAGGAGATCGTGGGGACCGAGGTGACCGAGGAGGTTACGGTGAATCTCGAGATAGACCGAAATATTTTGGCCGAAGCTCTAAAGACTTTAATCGCCCTGCTCCTCGAGACAATGATGACTCTGGTGGTAGCTGGAGGGACAAACCCACCGATGAACCTTCAAGCCAAATTGATAGACCTTATCGACCTCGACCTGGTGGATTCCGTCATGGTAATACAGATAAAGACCAAGATTATGAAAATCGAGATGGTGGTTATTCAAACCGAGGAAGGCGAGATTTCGGACGTGATAATAGAGATCCTGAGAGAAGATTCGAGAAGTGACAGAGGTGATAGAGACAGAGATCAAAAAGGATGATGGTGATTCTCAAACAAAATCATATAAAACATCTCGAGATGTATGGAGATCCCAAGGGCCAACCAACCGAGAAGAACCGCAATTTAGGTCTAATATAAAAAGCGATAAACCACCACCACGGCCTTACCAAAAATGATTTTCTTAATTTGAAAGACACACACAAAAAAACAGTAAAACAAAATTACAACAATTAAGGTTGAGAAGATGAAAAAACAAAATTAAATCAAGACAATAGTATTGGTATTGACTTTAAAACATATTAAAATTTTGTATCATATAAAATTAATCAATTACTTCCTCTCGTTGTTTAATTTGTCTTTTCGCGAATTAAAGATCGGTAATTTTAATCGTAATTGTAACTTTCCATTTTCTTTCTGTCCAAAAGCAACAATTAGCCGATTATCAAATTGTCTCTTTACTTGAATTCTATTAAATTCCACAATCAGTTGATAGATTAATTTGATTCGACTATCACCACATCTTAATACTCTCTCGCTCTCTTTCAACTGAACATTAATTATCAACAACAATTAGAGTTCCGATGACAGGAGATTAAATATTCAAAACCGAACAAAGAAAATCTCAAGTTCTCTGTCTACATTTGATTCTCTTTCTATTCCTCTGTCTACCGATTCTCTTTCTTTGAGAGTTTTTCTTCTCTATTTCTGTTTGCTTTTCAATCTCTTCTCATCTGTCTTATGTTTTAGTAAACAGAATTTAATTGTTTTCTTTTTCCCTAATTGATTTTATTTCTTATTTTAATGTTAATTGTGAACAATTGATCTTAAATTTCCACAGCAATGGACAAATTAGTTGAACAATTTGAACATTTAAAAGTAACAACATCTTCTCGGTGTGTTGAAGATGATCCATCAATAAAAGAGTTAATTGAAACCTATTCAAAGGTTTGTAGTTGTTTTGGTGTCCATTTTTTTTTCTCTTCCGTTTTTATTTTATTTTCTTTCGTTTTTCGCTAATTGTGTGTGTTTTTTATTCTATTTTATAGGCTGTCCTTGATTGTACATTCTTTCATGAAAATTATTTAACAGAGAACAATTTCTGCCTTGATTCAGCCGAGGAAGACATTGAGACCACTTTAAACCTTCTCAATGCAATTGTTTCTCTTTGTGCATCAGTTGATTCTCCATCTTCAGCCAATTCATCATCTTCATCTTCCTCATCTTCTGATAGTAGTGATTTCGGTCGTTCTTTGGTGGGTGGTGTTTCTTCATCTTTCCAGGGTAAAACATCTTTAGGTGATCCATACAAAGCGGTTGTCAATGTTTTAGGAATTGATTTTGGTGAATGTGTCCTATGGAGACAAGGATCACTTTTATATGCTTTTTGCTCTGCCAAACTTACTTCAGATCCAACATGGGTTAACAATCATCAAATGACTCTATTAAATCATCTTAAAGATGGGATCAATTATTTTCACTTAATGTTAAGCATTCGTCGTAATTTAATCCTATCTAATTTGGATGAAATCGATGCCAGATATATAAGTGATCTCCGTCAACCTACCTTAACCATCCAGCTTCATTTGCCAATGATAACGATCACATCCATTTCAAGATGATAACATTGCTTATGTTAGTGCGAAAGATTTAAATCAAGTAATATGAATGAATTGAGTAATTTATTGATACAAAGCAGAAAATTGTTGGAGCTTTAGGAGCAGAATTGGATCAACTTCAACAAGTATTAGATCAACAAGAGTAATTGTTTATTTCTTTCAAAATTGTTCCATTTACTTTAAAATATCATCTATAATTCAATTTTCTCTTCTCCTTTCAATTTCAGCTTGTCAACATAGAAACCAGACGGGAAATTTTACAGAAAATGTCAAATACTCCTGAACTAAGATCTGACCTGGAACGAGCTTTGGACGAGATTGATGCTAATCAGGAGAAAGTGAAAGAACAACAAGAAGCCAATGTAGAGAAGAAAGGACAAATTGAGAATTGTCTTAAACAATTAAAAGAACAACAAGATGAATTAAATCAAAAGACAAGCGTTAATCCATTTTCACCTCGAGGATCAAATGATGATGATAATGGAGAAAAACAATGACCGATGGAAATTCTGTCACATTTGATCTAATTGACATGGGAGTTCTCAGTGATAATCATATGCTCGCCATGATGTATTGTGGTGATATGGCTTTTTGGTTCTGCAAATACTCACGAGATTGGGATCTATTTGATCATGTTGCATTTCAAGAGATGTTCAGTGAGGTTCGACGAATAGGTATTTCTTACCTAAAGATTTACGTTAAAGCAGTGGAAAAGGTTCTACAATTTAATGGTTGGAATTGTGATCGAGCAAATGAGCTTCTAAAACATTTTAATGAACTTTGTTAACCCTTTTCAGGGTTATAAGAATATACAAAGTTAACCGGTGTACAAATGGTGTAAAAGAAAATGATTAAGACAAATTGACAATGTTTCATGACTTTATGGATACATCACTTACCAGTTAATCAACAATCATGAGACCAACTTTGATAGCCCCTTATATACACAAATCAAATATTAATCACATGGTTGAAGAGCGTAAATTGCTGCCACTTACAATATAAATTTGATATTGTATTTTGTCCCATTATTAAGGGCATGCAAAAGATAATGATGATAATGATGATGATCCCACCTAAAGTCAAATTAATCCTTTTCCAATCATTAAGATTGTTTCCAAATGAACATATTCTTGGATTGCTGATTTAAACTTTTCTAATTAACATTCGATGATTTTCTTGATTGAATTCTATTGAAAACCAAGACCAATGTTGATTATTTACACTCGATTTAAAAGACAATTTATCTTTCAACTAACAATTTGTGGTTTTGTATAACAATCAATTCACAAAGCTGAAGTTAAACTAACTTAAAGGACCAGGAAACCAAAAATAAAGCATCGGAAAATCAAGCAAAGATCAACAATTAACTCAAGATTAGTTATCAACAATCAAGTGTCATAACCTGTAACCATCAAACTAACACCAAATTGAAACACTTAACTTTGACAATTAACTTAAGGAAAAAGACAATCAATCAAAAAAAAGACAACAACAAGATTGTATTTACGTAAATACAATTTGATTGTTATATACATAAATTTTTCCAGCTAATCCTTAATTGTTTCAATCTCTCTCTCTCTCTCTCTCTCTCTCTTCTCTACTTTCTCGCTTTCCTTTTTAATTTATTAATCATCTTGCCCTTGCTCATGATAATTAAGAAAATTAACTTTCCACCAACAAATCAGAAACCTTAACAAAAATGAACAGTAAAACTTTGTAATCTAATTAACTGATCAGAGGATTAAATAAATTCAATATATTATTAATCACTTTGAAAACAAAACAAACAGTTAATCAAATTTATGCGATACAATTTAATTTAAATTACATTTTACTAATTACAGAGTTAATCATAATAATCAAAAGGGTTAAACAAATTAATGAAAATTATCAACATTTAAATAATAAAGCAAAATATTAATTGCGAAAACAAAAGCCCAATGATAATCAAATTAAACGATATTGTTACAATTTGTTCAATCAAACTACAATTTACTTAAACACCATAAACTGATGCCAATTAACTGATTACAATTTAATCATGACAATAATTGTAATCTTATTATAATATAAATTACATTGGATTAGCCTTAAAAATGAGGCTTACAATTTGATTTAAGATTAACATTGAATTTATATCTCTCTCTCAATTATATAACATTGGATTACAATTAATTAAAGTTTATCATTGATCAACAATTAAATTTGATTGTATAAATAACAAAGTTCAATTTGCGTAATTAATAGTTAATTTGGAAGAGTTTAAATTTGTTTATATTTTGATTCCTCTGCCAATCTCCTCAATGGTTATAAGATAAATTGAACATGAAGATGATGATGATGAGAATGATGATCAATGACAAAGTGAATTGTCAATTAAACTGGTTAAATGTGTATTCCAATGGTACTAATTATCCAGGTACCACATCGTATGAGCGTTTAATTTCAATCATACAAAACTGGCAGTACCATTTAATTTGCCCTTCGGATGATTGAATTGTTTCATATTGAGATTTGGATAATCCAGCACAGATTAAGCAATAAACGCAACCACCTCTCACAGATTAGGATTATATCCTCATTGAAAATTCCATGAAAGTTTTTCACAAATTCCACATTGCGACGATTGTCCGAGCCCATGATTAACTAATGGTAATCACAGCAATTGGAAAAGGAACTGAGCAAAATTAATCAACAATCAGCAAGACCAATTGTCAATTGTGTGGTGATATTATTGCGATAGAAACTGTAACAATTAAAAAAATTTTATGTTCTTTATGGTTGAAACTTTCTTTGCCTTTCCACTCGACTGATTTTTACTTGATTTTGATTCTTCTTATTATATTGACTAATCAGTTAATTGTTGATTATTTTACAATTTGCAAGGGAAGAACAGTTGATTCACTGTTTTATCGTAATTTAAACATGATTTAAATCATACAAACTACGCAACTGTGGTTATGATTACTGGAAATTTCCCTGTGGGGTTTAGGTTCAATCTTAAGCTTGGCAGGTTTGGGTTCGAGTTGATTTTCGGGTTCATCATTGGATCGATAAATGTTTTCCTCATGATAACTGAAGATGGAGTTTCAGTGATATTTTTCAAACTTTTCCATCTTCATCAATGATAATCTCCATCATTTCATTGTTTAAAAGCAAGATGGTGATTAAAGGGCAATTAAAGGACAAATACAAAGACAACTATCAATAAAGACAATGTTAGCAGTTGTCTAAATTTGTAAAGTTAATTGTTATCAAATCATAAATGATTTGATATGAAAACAAGTTTCATTTTTGATGAGTTGAACTCAGTTAGCACTGAGATAAAATGACTCACGAATTAAACGAATCGACGAACAATTATTAAATTGATGATAAAACAAATCG